GGGGACACGAGCCGGGAGGAGCCCCCGCACGGGGCGTCCCTCTCCCTGGTGGGCTGCATCACCTCCCTGCCCGTCACCCCCGGGCTTTGCAATGGGGACGGTGGGAACACTGGGACAAGGGCAGGCAGGTTGGGGAAAGGTCATGGGGCACCTCCCGGGGTGTCCTGCTTGCTGGGGGGTCCCCCCTCCCTGCCCACGGCTGCTCCTCCCAGGTGCCTGTGGAGCTGGTTCTGCTGCTCACCGTTCCCATCGTGGACCCCGACAAGGATGACCTGAACTGGAAGAGACCCCTCAACTGCCTGCACATCCTCACCAGCCCCCTGCTCTGCGTCCTCACCCTAAAAAGCCCTGGCAGCCCTGGACACCCAGAGGGGACAGGACCGAGATGGCCACCAAAGCCCTGGGGACCGCAGGAGCCCTTTGGATCTGGCACCCCATCTGGGGAGGGGAGGACGGGCCAGCACAGAGCCAAGCTGGGGGGCCTGGTTTGCAGCTGGATGGCTCCGTCCTCCCCCCAGGGGTGGGGGTTTGGGCCCCCCAGCAACCAGGTTCAGGGGGAAAAGGGGCAGACTTGGCCTGCCTGGGGAAACTGAGGCACAGAGGGCTTAGGGTAGAGGTGGCTTTAGGGGACAAGGCTTTACCTCATACCACGAGCCTGGTTGGATCCTGCCCCAGCCCACGTGGTGCCTGCGGGGCTGCTCTGATGCCCCCTCTCTCCGCCACGTGCAGATGGGCTGTACCAGATCCAGGGCATCTTCCCAGTCTGGGGACTGGTCACACTGGTTGGCTCTGTCCTGGCCATCATCACCTTCATCACCACCAGCAACGAGGAGCCACCCAAGTACCACTGGGTAAGGTGCCCCCCAGCCCTGAATGCCCGCCGGGGACCAGCTCAGCCTGCTCCGGACTGGGCTGAGGGTCCTGGGGGCAGAGCAGGAGGCAGGACCTCCTCCCCGGTCCCCAAGGTCCCCAGGAGGGACACGACTGGCTGGAGGTGTGCAGGGTCCTGCGGGATGCACCCAGGGACCAGCTTACCCCTCTGCCCCGCAGGTATTTGCCTTCCTCGGGTTTTTGGCTAGTGCCATGTGGATCAACGCTGCGGCCACGGAGCTGGTGAACATTCTGCGGACGCTGGGCATCATCTTCCAGCTGAGCAACACCGTGCTGGGCTTGACGCTGCTGGCCTGGGGCAACAGCATCGGCGGTAAGGGCTCTGCTGCGCCCCAGTGCCAGCCCAGGTGCACCCCTCCTCCTGGCACCCCCCAAGGTCTCCCCTTCTCCCTCTGCAGACACCTTCTCTGACCTCACCATGGCACGGCAGGGCTATCCCCGCATGGCCTTCTCCGCCTGCTTCGGGGGCATCATCTTCAGTATCCTTTGGGTGCCGGGGGGAGGTGGTGGTGGTACTTGGGGCAGGGGCTGCCTCAGTTTCCCTGCCTGCAGGCGAGGGGGAGCCCGTGCTCCTGAGGGGGACCGTGGCAGGAGA